TCGAACAAGAAACCGCTTCTCCGAACAGATATGCCCGCGGAGCCAAGATCCTGGAAGGAGATGCTTCATTCTGATCACAAAAAGCAGTGGCTAGAAGCAAGCGTCCAGGAGGTCAACACCATTGAAAATATGGACACAATCGAGCAAGTCCCCTTCGAATCGGTCGACCAGGAAATACACAAGGTTCTCGGGTTGACCTGGGTCTGGAAATACAAGGTTGACTCCACCGGCTACGTGACCAAGTTCAAGGCCAGGCTCTGCGTACGAGGAGACCAACAGCCCAAGAATGAGATGGAAACATACGCGTCGACACTGGCAGCCAAGACGTTCAGAACGTTGATGGCCATCTGTGCAGAGTTTGACCTAGACACGCACCAGTTGGATGCCGTCAACGCCTTTCCAAATGCACACCTCGACGAGACAGTCTACGTCTGGGGCTCCTTCAGGGCTGGGATCTCATGCAGGAGATGCAACAGAAGAAGGGCGCTTCACAGAGGCGCACGATTTCAAACTGGCAGCCAAGACGTTCAGAACGTTGATGGCCATCTGTGCAGAGTTTGACCCTAGACACGCACAGTTGGATGCCGTCAACGCCTTTCCAAATGCACACCTCGACGAGACAGTCTACGTCTGGGCCCCTCAGGGCTGGGATCTCATGCAGGAGATGCAACAGAAGAAGGGCGCTCCACAGAGGCGCACGATTTTCAAGCTGAAGAGAGCTTTGTACGGTTTGCGCCGATCACCGCTTCTCTGGCACAAGCTGCTGTCCGAGGCTATGCGGAAGATCGGCCTCGTGGCTCTCGAGGAAGATAACTGTGTCTTCATGGGCAGAGGCATGATCATGTTCTTCTACGTTGACGACATCATCCTCATGAACCGCAAAGAGGATCGCCAAGCGGCCGAAGAGCTGAAGAGCCAGCTCAAGTCTCTGTTCGAGATGCGAGAACTTGGCGAGGTCAGATGGTTCTTAGGCATCAGAGTGGTCAGAGATCGTAGCCAGCGCAAGCTCTGGCTGTCTCTGGAGAACTACATCACTGAAAAGATGAAGGACCTCAACCTCCAGCCATCCACCAGAGGTCATTTGACGCCTCTATCAACAGACCCAGCACCTGCTCCAAAGGATTACGAAGCCTCTGCTGAATCCATTCAACTATACCAACGCAAAATTGGTTCCATCAATTACGCAGCAACCACAACACGACCTGATGTGGCCAAAGCTGCCTCAAGACTTGCGGAGTCTCTGCTCAGGCCGACAGAACTCCATCACCTTGCAGCAGACCACTGTCTCCGCTACCTCTATCGCACAAGGACTCTCTCGCTGTCCTACGGAGGATCAGGAGACCATTCTACATCGCTGTATTGTGCGAGCGACGCATCATTCGGCGATGATCCCATCACCAGATTTAGCTCACAAGGATACACCACCATGCTCTTTGGAGGTCCAATTGACTGGAAAGCTACAAAGCAGCGATCCGTGGTCACTTCTAGCACCGAAGCTGAGCTGGTGGCCCTCAGTGTCGCAGCGAGGAACTACCTTGCCACTCTTCGTCTGATCAAGGAGCTTCAGCTACGTTTTCATGGCAAGGTTCCGATCCAGATGTTCTGTGATAACCGCCAAACGCTGCTGTTACTCACTAGTGAGAGGCCTCAAGCCACTACGAAGCTCAAGCATGTTGACATCCATCGTCTTTGGATCCGACAAACAGTCAGACAGGGGAAGATATCCGTGGACTGGATGAGCACTGACAAGATAGTGAGCGATGGGCTTACAAAGATTCTCCCGACTCAGAAGCATCAGAACTTCGTGAAGCTTCTGCAGATGGAGTGCGTACCAGCGGTCCACCAGTGAACAGCTTGCTCAATTTCGCCCACCTCTCCTAACACTTACACACATCCTTATTTGCTTCACAAGCACGATTTCCTTCATCTGCCCTGAGAACGCCAACTGTTCCAAAGGCACCAAATTCTCTACCAAAAGCCGCCAACAGGCATCTGCCTGATCTTTCGTGGTTCAGATGGTCAGAGAGAGGCTCGCCTACCCATCTGAGGGGGTGTGTTGCCGATCAGGCAAGGTTCTGTTCTGTGACCCAGGAGTACTTTCATCCCAAATGTGGAGTCCTCATTTGATGCATTTGTTCTGTCGTTATCGCCCCGGTAAGACTCCTTACCGATGCTGGATCTGACCAATTACCTTCGTTTGGACTTCTGGAAGTCTCCTTTTGTACCTTAACAACAATCAATCCACTTTGTTCAATTCCGTGGTGACAATGGGGTACCTCTGATAAATGGCCCTGCTCTGCCTGCCTGAATGCGCCAGACATTTGCGCGAACTTTGGTCTACAAAAATAAGGAAAGTTTGAAGTTTTCAAAACTGCCACTTCCTACTTATAGAGACCTTTTCTACAAGTAGAAAATCTAAACTTTTGACGGGCATGTCGAGCCTCAGCCCGGTATATCGTTATACACATAACAGGTCCGGTTGTGAGGTGGTGTAGGGGTACAAGTATGCCACTAGCGCAAAATCTGGCAGGTGTGGGCTGTCGCCTTCTGCATCGACGACCGCCTCCACAATCTCTTCCATCCTCAGACCACGAGCGGCCCCGACTGGAAAATGACCGAAGCGAGCTCGCATTCAATTTTTGTCAACTCTTTAGCAGTATGCCAGCTTACCCATATTGATGCCGTGATCGCTACGCCAGTTCTAATTCCCAACAGTGCGATCACTGCCGCGCCAAGAAACTCAGAGTTGGTTCTCGTCCTCTGGCCACCAAGATCCAACCCCGCCCCGGCCGAGATGATCTCGATGTATGGTTCTGACATGTGGCACAGTGTTCAAAAGAAATACCTAGCTGCAAGGGCTGCTTGAGAAGCTCAGTGGCCTGTCATTACAGCGGCAGAGCCCATCGATCACCCCTCACTCGCGTGTAAGCCCCATCGACTTGTGTCTCTTATCCATCCTCCGGATTGTCTGTCCTTCCTGGTGCCAACAACCTCATAGGTACTTGACAGATGTTGAGAGTCGCTTGGAGCGTGTTGAGAAATTGTTTGCTGAACTGCTCCCCGATGTCGACATTGATCAAGCCCTTGGCGCGAGGGTGGCGGGCACCCCCAAAAGCACAGCGTCAGATCACTTCGCCCCACGAGGCCCATCATCCCAAACACCCGGGCAGCAGATCTCCAGTCCTATTTCAGAAGCTGTACCTGAGGAATCAGATGGGTTCGATTGGCAGGAAGACATTGCGGTCCTCGCCGACGGCATGGCTGCGCTGTCCGTCGAGCCCAGAGGCGCGGGCTATCTAGGTACGCCAATCCTTACTTGTCTTCATATTGAGTGAGCTAAATTTGACTTCTGTTTAGGTTCAACCGCTGGCGTGTTCTTCCTCAGATCGCTCCTCCTCCTCACTGGCCATTCCGCCGCGCTTGCCGATGACCAGCCTAGACCACCGCGACTTCGACAGCGCCTGTCCTCGCGCGACCCTTCATCCCAGCTAGCTGCAGTGAATGTATCACGCCAGGTCATAGACAGTTTGGTTGATACTTATTTCTCTGTATATCACTGCGCATATCCCTTCATTCATGAACCAACTTTTAGGGCTCAGCTTCATGAAGTCATACCGCGACCACAGCAAACGTCGTGGCAGATGCTACTGCACACTGTGCTGGCCCTTGGAGCATGGTGCCTAGATGATACTCAGGGGCAACTCGAAGATCAACTATACCATCGAGCTCTCGCATTCGGAGAAGATGAGTCATTGTTTGAGAGCGCGAATTTGACGTTTGTGCAAGCTCTTGTGCTGCTGAGCAACCTCAGTCAGAAGCGGAACAAACCCAACACTGGCTCCAATTTCCTCGGGTTGGCAACACGCATGGCACTCAGCTTGGGTTTACACAGAGAGCTACCAGACTGGCGCATCAATAAGCTGCAACGTGAGATGCGTCGGCGGGTCTGGTGGGGGCTCTACATATTTGACAGCGGCGCGTCGACTACCTTTGGCAGACCTATCCTCTTGCCCGACACTGAAGCTATGGATGTCCGGCCAGTTCTGAACATCCATGATGCGGTAGGAGTCTCCATCTTTGTGCTCTGTGCTCGTGTTGACGCCATGAAAAACAGTCTCTTACCAGCAGGACGACCGACCAGCCTGTCGAAGTTAATGAGCCAACTCTCTACTCTGGCCTGAAGATTCAGAGTGATCTTCATGTCCATTCCAACTTCATCTCAAATCGACTTCTCTCGTCGGTCGGTGTCTCTGCCGAGAGCGCGCTGTCGATGGATGCAACATTGAGTCGATGGGCGAAGACCTTGCCATCGTTTTTCGCCCTTGACTACGATGGCCAATGCTTAGAGTCGACATTTCTCTTCACGAAGTCTCGTCTATGGTGGCGCTTCTGGAATATTAAAATAATTCTATTTCGACAAATCCTGCTTCAACAAGCGGCTAGAAAGGGTGGAATAGGCGAGCCTCTGAATGCCGGCTCAGCCGAAGAACAGTGCAGAAGCATCGCACTTCAAGCTGCAACTGCCACGATCAGGTCCATTGACTTTTACACAAGGCACGGCGTTATCACCAGGCTTGCCACTTGGTACCTGATGTAAGTAACCCGTCCGGCATGGCGCTGCCCTCAAGCGGCTGACAGGGAATAATCCAGCTTCTTCTTATTCCATGCGTCTCTGATCGTGGTTCTTGTCATCCATGGCGACCCCGAATCATCAAATTTGGCTGAATGGCAAGCTGATCTCGAGATTGTTCGCCATGTTTTCGGCAGTGTCTTTGCCCACAATCCTCTGGCAACTCGCTGCGCTAATATCATCAACGAGATCCTGCTCCCCGGCCAAGTCCCGACGTCTGGGGACTGGACGAACATTCAAATGGGATCTTGGTCTATGGATCCGGCTCTGTGGCCCACTGAACCTACCGACGACTTCTATACCCTCTTCGGTTGGCCAGAGACAGGATCATTCCAGATGTAACACTTCGTTGGTTCGTTTTCAATTCATACTAATTGATAATTCGGACATGAGGCTCAATCAGATTCTTGCGTATGTAGGCACCATTGGGCACGTCGTTTTCGTCGGCCCGCAAGAGTGCAAGCTCCATTGTGTTCTCGATGCCAGCTTTTAGGTGTCGGGCTGCGAGTCGAAGACGCGCCACGTCCTCTGCTACGTCGACAAACCACCTGACAAAATATACATTAACGACCACCGGGGAGTGAGTGATGGGGTTGGGAAGCTCTTTACTTGTCATCGACAAGATCAGCGATCTGGTCCCACGGCGCCTCGTTCAGAAGCGTGTAGTTGCCTTCGATTATCACCAATCTCGCTTCTGAGGACAGGGAAATGCTGTTTGGGACAGGGTCCATTTCTGCGTGATCAAAGCTCGGCGCCCCAATGATCATCGCGTGCTCGCCGCACCCTGTTACCGGCATCTGCTTCAGCTTTTTAACAATCTCCAGGAAGCCAGTTGCATCGAAGGTGAATGGGGCACCTCGGCGGCGAAAGGCCAGAGCTGGGTCGTTGAAGGACGAAAGAACATGTCGAGAATAGTGAAATCCGTCCTGGAGAAGCATGATAGTGAGAATTGTGAATCGCTATAACTTGAGGTGGGAACGGTAGTTTCAACACACCATTGGAAGGACAGCAACATGTCTTATGCCGTGTCTGTTCAGGTCCTCGAGGAGAGTGGTCGCGACAGTCGACTTGCCTGAGCCGGGAACACCAGCCAGCGCAATCAAAACTCGTTGTCTAGGATCATTACGACTTGGTTCAGCGAGAAGATGCTCGGCGCGAAGCCGTAGCTGAGCTGTGGTCTTTGCCAGGTTATCCCCCAGGTTCTTGTTTTTGGAGAGATCGAGCATACTGAAAGGCGGTGCTTTGAATTTTGTCGCAAAGAGAGAGCAGTTTGTTCAAAGACTGGTGTTTGCAGCTGTTTTGCTGGAATTTTAAGCGAACTAGACCGTGGCTCAGCATCCGGCGGCCTCGAACATGTCCGCCTACCACAACACTCCGCATGCTCGATTGGCCCGGACGACTGACGTCCGATCAATAAGAAGGCTGGTGCACATCTGCGGAGATCAATGATCAACAGAGTACAAATCGTAGATTCCATGAGTCAGTCAAGTGGTGTAAGCCAGCCATTCTTGCCATTGCAGTTCCCAAGCCCGCAAATCGTGTGGACCCGGAAGAGGTGTCGGCGTTCGAGGGCATTGGTCCGGACTTCGGTGACCCGAAGTCAAACTCTAGGTTGGTACAATCTTGGCTCTAGAACCGCGACACGATGTATCCTTCCACAAGTCGGCCTGATATATAAATAAGTACCCCAGGTCTTCCCCGCAAGGAAAGATTCCCCGCATTCGACTGGATCAGATCAGCATCATCAAAAGCTAGGTCTTGAAAACTTAAAGCCGAAAGATGTCAGAACTTCAAGTCTCCAATTCGGAAGGCGGTTCTTCGCCCAAGCGAAGTCCATGGAGCTTGCTGCGCGAGAATCCTTTCATCGTTGGACTATCAGCGGTACGGTCTGAATTCCTGTCTCGATTTGCAGTTCAAACCAACATAATCTTTGCTACCCCCATTCATTGTCTACTCATATTGTCCTCCTTAATTCCAACCCTTACTAATTTCTGTCCAGTTTGCTAGTCTCGGTGGTTTTCTGTTCGGCTATGACCAAGGCGTTGTTCCCGGCGTACTCACAATGAAATCTTTCGCCGCCACATTCCCTCGCATCAATATCGACAGCGGCTTCAAGGGTTGGTTTGTTTCGTCACTTCTGCTATTGGCCTGGCTTGGATCTCTGTCAATGGCCCCATAGCCGATTGGATCGGCAGGAAAGTCTCTATGCTGCTAGCTGTTGGTATTTTCACAGTTGGATCTGTCTTTCAGACTGCTGCCAACGATGTCCCACTCCTATTTGCAGGTAAGTTGTAGGTCCAAACCTTTCCGCTTGCTACCTTTTATTCAGTTGTTTATTCGTAACCAGCCCGTGCTATTGCGGGATTCGGCGGTGGCATGTTGACCATGATTGTCCCCATGTACATCTCCGAACTATCTATGCCCGAAATCCGAGGAACACTGGTAGTCATGCAACAACTCAGTATCACTCTTGGTATTCTTGTCAGCTACTGGCTCGAGTACGGAACCCAGTACATCGGCGGCACTCGATGCGCTCCAGATATCCCTTACTCAGGCGGCACTACCAACCTCCCCAAATTCGATCCTCGTTACGATGTCGGCCCGGGCGGCTGCACCGGACAACCCGATATTTCGTGGCGCATTCCCTTCGGTCTGCAGATTTTGCCTGCTCTCGTGCTGGGCATCGGCATGCTGTTCTTCCCTGAGTCTCCTCGGTTCTATCTGCTACGCCGCAAAGAAGACGAGGCACTTGCCGCCCTGGCCAAGATTCGACGAGTGCATCTCGACACTACCTCACTGCGCAACGAGTACCTTGGCATCAAGGCAGAGGTTCTGTTCGAAGAGGCTCTCAACCGGGAAGGGTATCCTGGTAAGACAGGTATTCCTCTATTCATCGCACAACATGTCGCCCTTATCTCGACATGGTCTGCCTCAAGCGCCTGGCTATCGGCTGCTGCGTCGCCTTCTTGCAACAGTTTATGGGGTACAACGCGATTATATACTACGCGCCGACGATGTTTTCCCAGCTGGGTTTGTCCGGCAAGACGTCTGGTTTGCTCGCGACCGGCGTATATGGCATTGTGAACACTTTGTCAACTCTCCCAGCTCTCTTTCTTATTGAAAGAGTGGGCAGGCGCCCTTTGCTTCTCTGCGGAGCCGCTGGAACGTTCATCTCGTTGATCGTTGTTGGCGGCATCATTGGTGGTTTCGGAGAGTCACTCAGAACGAATAAGTCAGCCGGGTGGGCTGGCATCGCTTTCATCTACATTTACGACATAAATTTCTCTTACTCCTTCGCTCCCATCGGGTGGGTTCTTCCCTCTGAGATTTTCAACCTTGGAAACCGTTCGAAAGCCATGGCAATTACAACAAGCGCGACCTGGATGTCCATCTTCGTCATTGGATTGGTGACTCCGGACATGTTGGAGACCATTGGATACGGCACCTAACTCTTTTTCGCCGGCTTCTGCGCCATTGCCTTCTTCTTCACGCTTTTTGTTATTCCGGAAACGCGCGGCAAAAGCCCTGAAGACATGGACCTGGTGTTTGGCGACACGGCTGCACATGACGAAAAGACGAGATTGGTCGAGATAGCAGCCTCCATGGGCCTCACTGATGTTTTGCCGGATGAAAAGATTGATGATGCTGCAACCAAGGTTGAACACCACGCTTGAAAGGTGCCTCACAATGCCAGGTCATTCTGGTGGGTTTCGGAGACGAAGGAAACAGGCAGCGAGAAAACAAATCGCACGATGGTATACATTGATACCGCAGGAAAGCGCCCAGGTCCGAGATTATCTCTCTGGGGCGTTGCCAATTATCATGAGAACTTAGGTAGCTCACACAGGTTGTTACGTAGCAAGTCGTGTTCTGCGCAGCATGGCACTTGGATCAACAACATGAAAAGCAAAGCAAATAACAGTTTGGGTATATCATTAACGCAAGGTTTGGTACCAGACCGGGGCGGAATATGTGAACCAGCAGAACCAGCTTATCACAGTCTCCGTCAGCGTTGCCCCATCTGTGCTGCCGGTAGTTGCCGCCGCCGCCGCCATCACCACCATCGTGGGTAGAGCAGTCAAGATTTAGACGTGAATGTAGAGTAACAGCATCTCAACGTCGCATTTCTGCCCCTCCACTCTATCATCTGGAGATGCCTGGTAGGCCTACCATTCCTAGAGCGCCTGCACCAGCTGCAGCCCCGATACTGTTCGGGCCTTCACGGTGGCCGAACGACCCGTATATTCTCTTCTCCCCACCGTTCTCGTCTGTAGCTTGAGATGCACTGTCGTCCTTTGGCAGCACCTTCTTCTGGGGCTTCCGCTCGTGGAGGGGCTTGAGGTAGTAGAGGAACTTAGAGAGATCCGGCATTGTATCAACAGAAATTCGAACTTGTGGTGAGAGCGCTGTGAAGGCGATTGGAAGACGAGGGTCAGCGGACGCTGTGCTGAGTGACGGGGTGACGGGGTGATTGGTGTTTGGTGGTTGTAGTGAGGTCTCGTCTCAAGAAACTCCCCAGACATCGGTGCCCAGCCTTTATCAACGTCGTTTCCTTCTCACAACCATTTCTTGCGATTTGTGGCAGCGCAACAGTCGCGTGTGCTTCGCCATCATCTCTGTGAAAGGCCCAGCAGATCTTCCATCAATCAGTGTTGTAAATAAACGCCATTTCATGGCCAGAATGAGGCCCTCGAATGCTGTGCTACACCGGGGGTTGAAGAGGCCACGCCGCAGCCCTGCAGGGCGTTAGGCGTTCTTGAGGTCTGGCCGCCCAGCAGGGGTGCCGTTATGTTACAATCATATGACAGCCTGGGAGCATTATCTGATTGGCCATCTTGAGCAGATGAACATCTGCGACAGCACAATCGTTGCACAGAGAATAGTGCCGTTGGAGACTGTCTTCACAACTGTGGTGAATGGCTGGCCTTCATTCGAGGCCATCGCTCAAGAGCGCAGCCATAGCCAATATCAAGGTCATGTCTGTAACGTTATCATACTGCAAAATTAATCGTCGCGTCGACGATGTCTTTCGTCCTGCTGATGTCGCGCGCTTGATGAAGGTCTCCTGCGATCGTGATGTCGAGACTCACGACGGTCGCGGTTCTCTTCGTGACCGTCGAGTTTGCTCACCTCATCACGTTTCCGGTCGCGGTGCCGTCTTCCAGAACGTCTCTCCTCTCGCTCAAGCCTCTCTCTGCGCCTGTCGTCTCGCCGCATCTTTTCGAGCTCCGCGTCTCTCTCTTGCTGTAGCTTCTGCCTTTCATTCTTGACTTCCCTCACCTTGGCGGCCCCTCGCTTCATCATAGCTAGTGGGTCGCTGGAGGTAATCCTGTCTGCTGCCCGTTTCTTGCGCCCAGGGTCTTCGTTGCCCCAGACATCCTTTTCAGATGCCTGGAACCCATCTGGCTGTGTTCCGTCGTCGGCTGTCTTGGAGTACCAGGGGTTCAACATGCCTCCACGGCCCGGGGCGCTCGACAGACGCATCCTGTATTGGTCCTCGTATTCACGCTTCTTCTTTTCCGCCTCTTTTTCCGCCTCTTCATTCTTTTCTGAACGTCGGTTTGCCTTGCGCTCCTCTCCAAACAGGTCAATGTGTCCGTTCCGATCCACAATCGGCGCGCTGCTTGTTTTCCTTCGCGAGACATCTTCTTCGTGTGTTCGGACCACAGCAGATCGTTCCTGGGCGATTCGTAGTTCAAAGTCCGTATCGTCCTCGCCCGTGCGTTTCCGCTTCTTGCGCTCGTGACCCGAAGCATGGCGATCGCGCCGAACGACGGCTTGTTCGGGGCTAGGTTCCGGTAGAGGCGGAGGCTCTTCGCCGCGCAGTATGGCTAGTCGACGCTCTGCATCAACTTCTTGCATGCGCTGTTCCTCAGCTTCTTCGGAGGCTTTGGCGGCTGCCTCATCGCGGCGGACGCGGGCGATGTTGTCCGCGTTGTACACGTTCCAAGACTTCTTTCCTAGGAGATGACTAAGCTTCGTCAGCGGCCATGCGTGGGGTGGGTTTTCAAGCAATGCGAAGCTTACAGAGGCATCTTGATGGAGGTTGCCAGAAGGCCAGACTCATCGAGTCCCTTCCGCCTGGGTCTGGACCAGGTGATTTTGGGTGCCTGAAGCGAGAACGAGCTTGAGCAAGGAGCGAGAATGAGCTTGAGCAAGGAGCGATAAGTGATAAGGCCAGCTTGGAGGGGCCTGCTGGCCGTGGGGAAGGCGAAAACCCCACCATGACGGTATGGGCGCCACAGGTAGCTCTGCCACTAAACCGCTTTCAGCGGGACAGCTGCGCCTGAACGGACAGTTCAGGTACTTACGAAACACCAATGTGACGACGCTGGCCTCCTCGAACATCTACAGAACACCTTGCGACCAGAATCTGGAAGTGAACACATCGCTCCTTTGTTAGTCCAAGAACAAGGTCACAAACTATACGATAACCCACGATCAGATCTCCCTGTACCTTCACTTCACCCACACTCTCTCCGACATGTCACGAGCACCGCCTTTCGGCCAGGGGAGGATGGGCCTTCCAGGCGCCAACCCACGAGCAGTGCCCTCCAGAGACCAGCCGCCCCGCGAGTCCTATGGCCAGCAGCCCCAAGGCTCTTATGGAGGCTCTTATGGAGGCAGCGGTCAAGGGTACGGCGGCCAGGGAGGCTACGGACAACCACAGCGATCCCCCGGCATGCCTTCGAACTATGAGAAGTCTCCCATGTCCCCTCCGAGGGGTGCTGGCGGCGGCGGCGGCGGCGGCGGAGGTCGACAGGTCCCCCTCACGGTCGGTAAGGTCCAAGATAAGACCATGCAAAGCCATCTCATCTATCACAACAAGTCAGTTCATCCGAATCTTGCGGCTCGCTTCAAAGCAGTGCTAACAGTAATGAAGATGCGCCGTGTCGCCTATGGACTTCCCTCCGAACCGCGACGGCTCCGACCTCTATATCCTCATCCGTGGTGGTGAGCCTCTTGGCGAATACGTTGTCAGTGCCGAACCCGTTGACGGCTTCCCGCCTGGAACCATCTCTTTGTCCGACCCTCAGCGAACGTGGTGCCGCATTGGCATGATGGACCGCTTCACTGGCGAGATCTATGATCCCTTCAGCCAAGGCAGTCAGGCCTACCTCGGCAGTTTGGATGTCGAAGTATCATTTGCCTCAGTTAAGAAGACGTCAGCTCAAGCATATGACGAAGACGACCTTGTGCCACGATTCCTCAAGACCTACCAGAATCAGATCCTATCTCCGGGCGAGAGGATCCTGATGGACGTGAATAACGTTCCCCTCATGATCGTTGTCAAGACCGTCGGCTTGGTGGATCTCGGCATGTCGACAGAGGCCGCTGGCGCTGCTGCGTCCAGGGAGCCTCGATCTCGCGGCATCATCACGCCGGAGACAAAGGTTAACTTTTTCAAAGCGCCCGGTGCCGAAATCAACCTGAAAGCCTCCGCTCACAGGGCCAACACCAACTCGATCATTGCTCCCGATTTCAAGTTTGAGGACATGGGCATCGGCGGCCTCGGCGAGGAATTCGGCACCATCTTCCGCAGAGCCTTCGCATCTCGCGTCTTCCCGCCCCGACTTGTCGAAAAGCTTGGAATTCAGCACGTCAAGGGAATTCTCCTCTTCGGCCCTCCCGGTACCGGCAAGACGCTGATTGCCAGACAAATTGGCAAGATGCTGAACGCTCGTCCACCCAAGATCATCAACGGTCCCGAAGTGCTCAACAAGTACGTTGGTGCTTCGGAGGAGAACGTCCGGAAGATGTTCGCCGATGCGGAAAAGGAGTACAAGGAGAAGGGCGACGAGAGCGGCCTTCACATTATCATTTTCGACGAGCTGGATGCTGTCTGCAAGCAGCGTGGATCAGGCGCTGGTGGAGGCACTGGTGTCGGTGACAGTGTGGTCAACCAGCTTCTGACGAAGCTCGATGGTGTCGACCAGCTCAACAACATTCTGCTGATCGGAATGACGAACCGAAAGGACATGATTGACGAGGCTCTGCTGCGACCTGGACGTCTGGAGGTTCAGCTGGAGATCGGTCTCCCTGACGAGGACGGTCGAAAGGAAATCCTCATGATTCACACCAACAAAATGCGTGAGAACGACATCATGGACGACTCGGTCGATGTCCAGGCCCTTGCGGCGCAGACAAAGAACTACTCTGGTGCTGAGATTGCAGGTGTCGTCAAGGCTGCGACGTCCTTTGCCTTTAACCGACACACCGAAGTCGGCGAGATGGCAAAGATGAAGTCGGACGTCGCCTCCATGAAGATCAAGATGGAGGATTTCCTGGCAGCGTTGACCGAAGTTAAGCCAGCATACGGTGTCTCAGAGGACGACCTGGCGAACTCGATCAAGATGGGCATCATCACGTACAGTCGTCATATCGAGGACATTATCCGCACTGGCATGGGCTATGTCAACACCCTCAAGGAGGGTCAGGTCCTAGACAGGATGTCAGTCCTCTTCCACGGCCCTGCTGAATCTGGCAAGACAGCCATCGCATCACACATCGCCATGTTGTCCGAATACCCCTTTGTCAAACTCGTGTCACCGCAGAACCTGACACCCTTCCGCGACGAGTTTGGAAAGAAGGACTACCTCTCCAAGGTCTTTGCCGATGCTTACAAGTCCCCGCTCAGCATTGTCATTCTGGACAACTTTGAGCAGCTCATTGAGTGGAACCCTATCGGGCCTCGCTTCTCCAACACCATTCTTGACAGACTGACGTCCCTAATCCAGTCTGCGCCTCCCAAGGTAAGCCGCCTGCCATCTTCTCCATTGCGACGTATCACTAACAAGCATACGCAGGGCCGTCGCCTCTTGGTCTTCGTGACAACTTCGGAGC